TTTATTCTAGGCTTTCGAGGAATGCTGTATAATCAGTAGAGCTTCAGGCTTTACATTTCATGTTTACCTTAGGACTGTATGTGCAACCTAGAGCTTACACAGGGCCTGGTGGAGAACCATGAGACCAAAAAGAAGCCAAGGCAGCTAGGGAGGGCAGCAATTAAATGAACTTGTTGCTTTGCTGTACATGAACAAATCACAGGTTCAATTGAAGAATCTCCCTCCAGTGCTGCCCAGAATACAACCCGTGTGTTTCTACTTCCTGATAGTTGATAAAACGCATGCTTCCTCCCACAGTGCAATGCATGGGGCCTAAGTAACCTGTCAACAGGCCCTTATATTGTCACGTGGTGGGAATGCCCGAAGCAGTGGTCAGAATTTTTCAATATACACGGCCATTTTCAGGAGGGCTCTGTTCTGCACTGGATGTTAAGGCAAAAGCATGACTGCCTACATGTAAAAATAATTAGAAAGGGTGGTTTGAAGGCTTAAAAAGTAAAGTACGATGTGTGAACAGCGCATCTCGCCCAACGCATGGAGGTCAAAAACGTGGATGTGCCCAATAAAAAGGGTGCTGGCTAATGACTTGTCGTTTCTCAACCTTTCTCCATACTTTGCCATGTTCATCATTTTTAATTTGCCCTCTATAACTGAACTGGGATGAAGAACATATTCATAGGAACTTTCCATTTTTTAGTGCTAGAGGGACAATGATAATTGGTCAGCAGTGTTAGCCAATGAAACATCTTTTGTGGTGTCTACATACTGAATGCACATACAACTTATAACATATACTTATGTATCAGGATGCCCATGCACTGGAACAGCAGTTAGGAAGTGACACCTATGCTGCTCTCCAACTACATACTGTTAAACATGATCTCCAGGGCTACATGTTTTTTTTTGTCACTTTTAGCATCAAAAAACCAAAGAGTATCAGAACCGGTTTGGATGCTTTTAAGATTTAGGTTGATATAACTAGCCGATTGTAGAGATGTAGGCATTACAGTGACCATTTTAAAGAATTTTGCGGCCCTCCTGTTAACTGGTATGCACTATAAAGTAAAACAGTTTATGATCATGGGTACTGTAGTGTATTGTGCTATCGTTAGCTCAGTTAGGGTCAGGTCCCGGCAATCCAATGCATGATGTACAGGTAGCCCATAAAAGTCTATGCAGCTCACAAGTGATGGCCCGGTTCTGAGCTCATGTGGCTCAGATAGAATGATTATATTTAAACCATGTGTGCTGGGCTGCTAAATTCTGCTGCAAACACTTGTATGAGACATGTGTTTGTTCATAATTTCAGTTCCTCTTAATGTGTGAGGTGAGCTTTATTAAAAAAAAGCAGATTTTGTTTTTCTAAAATGAAGTGTGGACCTTCGAAGACATAAAGTGACTCCGATGAAACATTCTGCACACTGTTTTATCTGAGTTTGGCATGCCTTCTGCAAACGCTCAAATAGGCTTGTGTTGCTATCTGCAAATGTGCATTCTAGTGACCCAATTGCAAGAAAGGACAACAGTATTACACTATTAACAGGTGTATAGTAGGCACTGTAAGGTGTCCAACTGTACATTACTCTAACAGCACTGCAAGACTCACAGGGAATGGGGAGAGTAGGCAGTCCCTCCCTAACACACTATAATCAGTGCCTAAACAAACCATCAACAGACTGTTGCCACTGTCATGTGGAGGTGCAGGGAATGCTTAGGGCCAGTCAACACCAATTACGGTACATTTCAGAGAGGTAGCTGCTGGAACGCACTGTAATCGCACACTAAACTCCCCTCTACGCTCTTGGGAAGGAGGGGATGTGGCAGTACATTGAAGTCAATGGCACCACAGCCAGGCCCCCTGCCTGCAGTGTGATCAGACGCGTGCCTGTGGTCCAGTCTAGTGCGAACGCAAAAAAATGCTTGTTTTGCCACGTGTTTGATCGCACTGTGGGCGGGGGGCATGGCTGCGGTGCCATTTATTTAAATGCACCGCCACGACCCCTCCCGCCCCAGAATGAAGGGGGGAGTTTAGTGTGCGATTACAGTGCGCTCCAGCAGCTACCGCTCTGGAACGCGCTGTAATTGGTGTGAACTGGCCCTAAGCTGTAAATACTACAAAATAGGAATATTTGATATTTGCATGACAACCATGCAGGACATATGATACCTTCTGATTCCACGTGGTGTTAGCTATCCAACAGTTATTATAGCTTAAAGTGTATTTCCTCTTTTGCAGTCAAATTTGGGAAAACCCCACTATGTGTTTATTATGTGTTCCTATTTACACTGCATATCTAAACATAATTTAAAAAAAAATATTTGTCACCTTTTAGATGTGTCTGTGTAGCATATTCTGGCAACCTCTCTTTCACTTTCCAAGTGATAGGAAACTCTGTCCCCATAAAAAGACTAGGGACAGGCTGCATTCCCAATGCTTCTACATCTTTAACTGTTTGTTCGGACAGACATTGTTCAAATCTAGTTTACAACTGATAATGAGATCTGCCAGCAGAGTACAAACAGGGTTGATTATGTTAGAATGAACCTGCCCAGCCCCCCTTGCATTTCAAAGCAAAATGCAATACAGAGAGAAACTTTTCTTTTAGAATAGAGCATGTATTGCGCAAGCAGCAGTTAAAAAAATACGCTATGCTATATGAATGAGAAACAGTGTTATCCCAATTTGGCTGTAGAAGTGGAAATACATTCAAATACTTGTGTGGTCCCTCTGCAGATATACCTTAGGCAGTTCACCTACCAAGGTGCAGTAATCCATGGCTGAAAAACATACAACTGTAGTCAGGTCATGGAAACAATATAGTAATTCCTTGAAATAGCTTACTGCATTTTGCACTATGTAGACCTCCTACAGTGGATAATTAAAGTAGTTTTCCCAAAGAAAACCCTGCTCTAGACTCTCTTCTGTGCCAATCATTGAGCCCAGGGGTGGCTAACTCCAGGGTTAATGATTGGCACAGAAGAGAGCCAGGGGTGGGTAACCATGGGGTTGTGCATTAAATACAAATCCCAACATGCCTCTACCTGGGGGTCATGCCTGTAACTGTCAGTCTCTCAATGCTTCATGTGATTTGTAGTTCCACAACAGATGGAGGGCCAGAATCGCCCACCCCTGATTTAGCTAAAAGCCTAGGCATTTGAGTTTTTTTGTATTAGCCTAAAGTGTATTTAAAGTCAAAAACAACACTGCAATATATTACAGCTACATCAGTCCTTGGATGTGCATTCATTTTCATTTTTAGCAAATACATAAAAAATACCTATTGATATTGACAGAAATGCAGTGTCCTTGTCACTTCTTCTGAGCTAAAAAGTCAGCAAAAACAATACAAAGCAATGACAGGCTGACAGGAGCTGCAGCTGTCTGCCGTTAGTCGCATGTATCCGTACATCCAGTGGTTCCCAGCGACTAGAGAGTAGAGACAGGTGACTTGGATGCATTCTGTTTGCATCCAGGGTTGGACATCTGCCCCTGGTTAATCACTGGATGTGTGGATACATACGGATAGTGGCGGACAGCCGCAGCTCCTGTCAGCCTGTCATTGCTATGTACAGGCTGAGAGGCAGCAGCTGTCCACTATCTGCAGCAGCCCCCTGTGAATGAGGCCTAACTGTAAACATAAGATAACTGACACAAACCAATGGAAAGTTATTTTGTGACAGCTGTGTGGTAAAAAAAGTTGGAATGGGTCAGTGTGAGATGCTGGTGATAATTAACCTCGAAAACCTCTGCTTTAAAAAAAAACAAAAAAAAAAAACAACACGTGATCTGACAATAAAACATAAAATATAAGTAATAACACCAGTAAACTTTGATGAGGTTCTTCGTCAAAATCATGTTTTGCATTTTATTTTTACATAAAAACGTTTAAATATTTACCTCACAGATATAACTGTGGTACGAAAGTCATCTGATAAACATTAATATAAGTTATGACACTGTTTTCACTTTCAAAAGCAGTCAGGTATTGTGACCTGACTGGCTAAACCCCATCATATGTCTGTGTTAGGAAGACTTTCCCTCACTTCCTATCCCAGTGACACCCTGTCACATCCACACACATGGTTTCACTGGGACAGGTCAATCTCTTCAGTGAGGACACAGACAAGAATAAGAACCTTCTCCACTCTACTGAAAGTTGTTTCGATTGCTGTTCATGTCTATGTTGGAGAGATTTCATCTGATTTCCTGTCCTAAAGACGGGGACAAGAACTGAAGGCAAATCTGCCCAACTGGCACTCAAACGTCATAATATGAAGAAGAGCGTTGAACACTTCCACACATGTTCCAAAACTTGGGAAAATGTTTGACTGGACTGTTGGGCTTTAATGAGGTTAAACGCAATGTGGAAAGTTCAGTAGCCAATACTAACCAGTTAGAATTCCCCTTTCTTCCCTTTTACCTCGATAAGAGGTGACATCTTTGCTAAAAGATACTGCACGCTACTTTATTTACATCATCATACTTCAGTAAAACAGGCCGCCTGGTCAGCACTATTGGCTTGGCTGGGAAAAATGGTCCTTAATGTCAAGTGATTCAAAGAACACAAAAACAGCAACTATAGGAAAGCCAGTATTGTTGACATGGTCAACTATCATCAAACTCTGGCCCTCCAAATTCCACCATGCACCTGCCTCTGGGAGTCATGCCTGTGGCTGTCAGAGTTTTGCAATGCCTTATGGGACTTGTAGTTGCACCACAGCTGAAGGGTCAGAGTTTGCAATACCCATGACCTAGAAGATAATCAAATGGTGTCGGTGTCTTGTAAAGTAATTTCAGTACATTCACAAAAGTAAAGTATAGGTTTGTAAAGGTTTTTACATCGCATAAGGTGCTTATTTTGGGGAAACATTAGCACATAATATATCATTGTATATCAACGAGCATTATCTTTGTTTTAAATGTTATGGCCAAGCCAAAATAACACATTTGTTCTGTTTTTTACATAATATAAAAAAAAATCTACAAAAATATAATGTTAATATTTACAAAAAAAACTCTGAATCCCTAGTCATGGACAATATATATATATATGTACAGCTATAGTAGATACAGAGTGTCTCATAAGGATGCCATCTGAGCTAAAGAGAGTTTAAAAAGCTGTGCATGGTTGGAAAGTTCTGTCACACGGTCCACCATTTCCTGCAAAGAGGCAGAACTTGGATAGTTCAAAGCCGCCATCTTAGTGGCCATCACAATACTTTTAAGCAGTTCACACAACTGGTTGCTGGAATTCATCAGTCTGTTGCAGATTTCCTTTGTGGACACTTGTCTCGCCAGAGTGTCTCCAATAAATACCAGTTTGTGGGCACTCAGGATGACAAACTTGCTGTGAGCAACAAAAATCCTGGGGGGCTGCGCCGTGCTCATGCAGTTGAAGAAAGCGTCAATGGAGTTCAGGAGGGAGATGAAGAGTCTCTCACATTGGTCAGAATAAAACAAGAGCAGCTGCTTATCTTGAGGGGTCAGGGCACTGTTTTCAGCAAGGATGCTATGAGGTGACTTCCACTTTGAGATATCATTTTCCATTGGTGTGGTAATCTCTTGCTCCAGCTGCTGGAACTGACTCAGCTGCAACACAGATAATGAAAAACATGATCTCCTCCGTCAACTCTTAAAATAATGGTAAATGAAAAGAAAGGGGAAACTGCTTACCTGAAGCTGTTCCAGTTGTGGTTTTCCGTTCTTGATAATATTTTCCTTCTCTAAAAGCTCTCTCTGGTGACGTTCAAATTCTTCTTTTCCCTGAAAAATAAAGCGCATAGGTTAAAACATTTGAGTGGTTATGTAGTGGAAACAGCAGATCATAATATATAAATCACAGTGAGGTCATTTCTATAAATAGAATATGCCAAACATTTCTTAGGAGAATGTCATAATGCAAAAACTAGCTGAAGGTGGTGCTTAAATTACAGCCAAAAGCTCCTGTATGACAGTCTAAACAATTACCAAATCCAGTTACTATGTGGTGCACAACCTAATAAAGTAAACAAAAAACTTCCTTTACCTTTCCTGTCTGAGCCAAAACCCCCTTTCTTTTGTGTCCCACATACAAAAGAAGAGCACATGGACATTGTGCAATAAAAAAAAGATGAGTTTAATAGCACATTAACAACTCACAGACACCCACAGAGTAAGAAGTGCATCTCAGGCCAGTGGAGGACAGTCAGCTAGTTGCAACCTTCACGCTGCGGCTAGTGGCAGGACTGTGATACAATTTAGGCAGCTGGCAATTACCCCCATAGATGGGACAAGCTCCAGAGATCTCTAGTGAGCGGCAATACCAGTCACCAGAGGGCACTTCTAGGGAAAAGATATATGATGTTTCCAAATTGGGGGTCAAGGGGGCAACACGTTTATATACCTCATTACCAAGCTTAGATAACATTTTTGGAGTTCATTGCTGGCTCCAAGAACTGTAGCATAATCTCTGCCAATGACCACGGCGTATGGGCTGCAACTAGCTGACTGTACTCCACTGGGCTGAGATACCCTTCTTTATCTTGAGTTGCTAATCTTTGCAGGGGGACTAAGAGAAACTGTAGTTCATATGTACTTATAATTAGGTGCAACAGCACATATTTCTTTATAATGAGAGGCCATAGTTCCACTTTGATTACTTATGAATTTTGTCTGCAAATACTTCCAACATTGTAAATTATATACCCACAATGTTTTGGATGGGCATTTAGTCTCTAATCCAAGCATTCTCAGAATTCTTTAGAAGCCC